CTTTGCTAGAAAGGTTAATAACTTGTTGCATTTAAACACCAACAGAATGATACAAGCGATATACCAAATTTGTATTATTTGTGAAACTAACTAAAAGACAGTTAATACTTCGATATATTTTTTTGGCTAAGACAATTATGGTAATGAATAAGACACAGCAAAGTGAATAAACCAAATCAATTTGATTAAAAAGATTGGTAATTTGATTTTATAGTATGCTTTCAAAAATTATAAATTTATAATAAATTAACCATTTTAATGTTATATCAATCAGAAAATAATATACTGAAATTGAAGTGTTTTCTTGTTTTTTATTCAAAAAATACCATTTGACGTGTTTGCCATATTTTCCAAGTGCCCATTCTTATTTATTATCAAACTCTTTATTTTATTGTACAGTATTTAAATCAATTTGTTTCTTCGCTAATAATACACTCTTAATAATGTGTTGGTGTTGTATGAGAACTTTAAAACCACTGATGAAAATATTAAAAATTGGTAAATTAGGACTATGATTAAAAATTGGTGTTAGTATGTGAAAAAACAATATTAATATTTAAAATAATCATTAATAAAAACTATATTTATTAATATTAATTTATATAAATTACTAAAAATACAATTTAAGTAAAAAATAGAAATACAATTTTAAATACCAAAGCTATTCCAATTAAAAATAAATTATACACAAAGTTAACACTGTATAATATGGAGTTGATTTGTAAGTCTTCTATAACACACTCACATTAATTTATTAATGTTTTTTCATTTCATTGAATATATCACATTCGTTATCAAACTAAATTATTTTCATTTAGGAAACTTTACGAGTTATGCTAATACTCCAAAATATTCGAGATATTTAATACCAACAACAACATGTTTGTATCTGTTACATAGGACTTTGTGAATATCAGTATTCAACTTTCAAAATGTATTCGACCATTGACATTAGCGGAACATTTTGTCTGAAATTTGTTTGTAGTTTATTTTGCACACTTGAAGAAACATTCTCGAGCCTCAGAATGATAACCAAATTCATTTCAAAAAACTCTTAAAATATTTCTAATATTTTGACTATCTGTAAATCTATTCTATCATCAAAATGAAGTGTCATTTTAAATGGTAACAGTGTTATTCAAATATCTCCACATTCATTAATTGACAAATGTTATGTGTCAGACAATTGCATTGTATCAAAACTTTCATTGATATCAATGGAATAACTCGATAACATAAAATATCCAAATAGTGTGTTGGTGCCCACAAATTTGATGACTAGCAAAACGTCAACAAGTCAAAAAAATACAACTTTTTGTATTGTTTCAAATCTTCGTGCATTTAAAACATAATATGTACTTGACTTGACAATTGTTAACTTGTGTGGACGTTGTTTTGAAGTGATGATGTTGAAGACCATGTAAAAATTTTTCAAATTGTGTAATGCTGTTTATGTATTCTGATTTGTACGTCTTGTGTACTACAACTTTTGAATATCATAATTCCATTGTTATAATGGAAACTTGTAGAAACTCCAAGATGAAGACTGAATTGATTACTTTGTTGATTATTATGTAGATTTTAAATTTTATTTTATTTGAATCTTTGATCTCAGTGTCATTATTTATCGCCATCTCATTCTTCGTTTAAAAGCAAAAAATAGTACTCATTTTAATTATTTTTATTCAATTGAAGGGGACTTATCATTCTGTTCCAAGACTTTTTTCAAAATATTCTTAATGTGGTTGTGATACCAATAACATCACGTCGAAGTTGTGTTTGATACAAAACTATGTTTCCTCTTATAATGATAAGACTTGTGCCATAAAACAGCAACTTGGATCAATTCAATTCCAAGTAAAAGTGATTGCTTAACCAAATGCCCAGAATCCTCTCCAATGTTGTTAGTGAAGAACAACGATGTTTTAAGAAGTTCATATGAATTTGATTGTGTCACTTGAATTATATTTTACTCATATAGAAAAATATTCTTAGATGCTAATAACAAATGAAAGTCAATAAATATTTATTATAACATGTTAAGCAGACGACTTTAACTAAATACACACAAAGATTTGTAAAATAAGAACATGTTGATTGTCACTTGTAAGTGTGTGGATATCATAGAATATTCTTTTGAAATATAAAGTAAAATGAATACATTAACTACTTCAAACTTTATGTATCAAACTAAACCGTCAGCAATTATAAAGTGTTTGGGAAGGTTTGTAATTGTCTCGCCAACATAGACCAGTTTACAACAACTTAAATGACAACGTTAAGAATTTTCAAAAGTCTACTTTGTATTGCCAACTTTGTTATATATTAATTGGACCACTTTAAAAATATATAAGCTCAACTTTGTCAACAATAATGTTTTGTTTGTTGTATTGTACTAATAATAATATAATATCTGTTGTTTGTTTCGTAATAAAACAAATTACATTTTTTGAAATATAAGTTTTATTCTCCCTATTAATATCTCCTTTAAAGATTCATTTGAATATTTATAATCACTCATTTGAATATACAAGTTTTTAAAGTGATAATTTGTTGAGATAATTGTTCTGATGTCTCGGTATTTTGTTTTTTTAAATTTAATTTAAATAACTAACTTTAATACAAAAATTGATTTCATTATAATTTATCAATGAAAATACATTAAGCAATTTTTGGAAACATCATTATCAATCGAGTTGCCAACAAAGTGATCCAACACAATCAATTGTACTTGATCAAACATTAACTTTTTGTTTTTGAGCTTAAGTTGAGTATTTTCAATAGCTTCTGCCATATCAAAAACACTTTTAGTTCACCAATTTGTTCTTTAATGGATTTTCAGTATAATTTTATATCTTATTTGTACACTCATTAATCAAATATAAAACTATCTCGAGTTTTGAAGCATTTACAACATAACAACAGTCAAATTAGCTTTGTTGTAGAACTCTTTAAAAAGTAAAAATGTCTTTGCACAAAACAACCCCCTAACTTTTTATTGGGAATAAGTGATTGCTTGAATTGTCATTTTTAATAAATTATCTTATTAAATTGTTCTATTTATAGAACATTAAGGTGTCCTTGTCATGGCTGTATGAAATGAACGTTTTTTTTTTAATTTTTTACTTAAAAAAATTGAATAAATTTCTACAATTACATAAACTGGAAACCACAAATTGGTATTACCATAGAATACAGAACCCTAATAAACCCAATTTTTTACTATATTTATATACCTTTGTTACTCTTTTTTTCTTATCTCACTACCACTTTATTTTTTAAAAAAATATTTAGTACTTTAAAGAAAAATACTTTAAAATAAAAGAAATAATTACCTTAAAGCACTAAAATATTTATGTTTATAAAGCGGTTTAAATAAAGTTGTTAATTCAGTCATTATAGCAAATAACCAATGAATTGCCCATCATTCTCGATACAAAGATCGAAACGTTTTTGCATTGAATCAATAAGGTTGTTGATTGTTTCATAAGATATGGAATTCCACACGACATTTAGTTCATTTTCAAGTTCTTTCAAATTTTTAAAAGCACTCTTCATTATTCTCAAACGCATTTCCATTATACTCCACAAATGCTCGATCGGATTCAAATCTGGCGAGTATGGCGGCCAATTTTTTATTACTCTGATGCCATTTTCTTCAAACCATTCGCTTGTATACTTGGCTGTATGGCACGGAGCTCCATCTTGCATGAAATAGAATCTCTTGCCATAGACTTTTTTAGCTTCTTCAAAACCCCATTGTCTTTTAACATTTGAATATAACCTTCTTTGTTCATTTTACCTTGGCAAAAAGACAGTTTGGTTTTGAAATTCTTTCCAATACCACCCCATACCATAGTAGAAACATTGTATTTTACACAATCAACAAAGGACTCTTCTGGGTGTTCTCCTTTTTTCCTCCAAATGTACCGTCCATCCGATAACAAACAAAAGCGACTTTCGTCTGTGAATATAGTCCTTGTTGTCCATTTTTGAATGCATCAACTTTCGAACGTTTTTCGGTCTGTTTTTTTACAAAAATCAAGTCGCTTTTTAAAATGAATTGGTTTCATATACGGTCTACTTGTTTGTTTGGTAAAAATAAATCCTTCTTTGTTTCTGGTTCTGTTGACTGTTGATGCACTGCTTTTTACTTCTTTTTCGACTTTTTTTGAAGATGAAAAAACGTCATTTAAAGTTAGATCTGTAACTTTCTGTGTGAATTCTTTATCAAATTTTGGCCGTCTTCCTCTTTTATGAAATACCACTGGTTTGTCTTGTTGAATATCTTTTTTTTAAAGAAGAAATGTCACGAAAAGACATGAAAAACATGTTTTTAACTTCCATGTATGTCATCCCTTTTAAAAGCGCTTTTCTCGCTCCTTCAATTTTTTGCAATCGATATTTTTCTGAATCGGTCATGTTATTTAATTATTTTTTAGTTTCGTAAAGACCCTAGTCATTAACAATATTTCAATTTCTGTCTTAAAAAACGCTTCTTTTCTTGTAAATTTCAATAATTTTAATAATTTGCTTTAAAGAAAGCGCAGAATTATACAAAGAAAATAACATTTTTTGAAATAAACTATTAAAAATAATAAAATAATATTAAAAAATAGTTTACTACCACATTATGATTTTCAGTTTATATCTATTTTATTTATTAATTAGAAGTAGTATTTATTATGATTAAATCTCTATTAATTATATTTGATATTAACTTGTATTAGTATTATTTGATGACGTGGTATATACTCACCATTTTACACAATCTTACATTTAAGTAATCTCTGTTCCCAGGAGGTGGGTGGGGGAGTGGGGCCGGCTTTAGGAGCCTCCTTGTATACTTTGCGAAATTGAATAAATTGATAAAATCAATTTCGAGAAATAATTAATTGACTTTTTCAATTATATTTTATTTTTAATAAATAATAATTATAACAATTTATAATTTAATTAAATTTTTTAAAAACAATAATAATCATTAATTATTAAGTAAATTAATTTCGATGAACTACTGTATTTGATTCGAAACAACATTTACCAATTGATGTCACACTTGATGGTATTGTAATACTGCTTAAATTATCGCATCTACTGAAACAATATTCACCAATTGATGTTACACTTGATGGTATTGTAATACTACTCAAACTACTGCATTTATTGAAACAATCATCACCAATATATGTTACACCAAATGCCATTGTTATACTGCTCAAACTACTGCATTCACTGAAACAACTACTACCAATTGATGTCACATTTGATGGTATTGTAACACTGCTTAAACTACTGCATCTATAGAAACAACTACTACCAATTGATGTCACACTTGATGGTATGTTAACATTGATCAAACTACTACATACACAGAAACAACTACTACCAATTGATGTTACACTTGATGGTATTGTAATACCACTCAAACTACTGCATCTACTGAAACAATAAACACCAATCGATGTTACACTTGATGGTATTGTAATACTACTCAAATTACTGCATCCACTGAAACAACATCTGCCTATTGATGTCACACTTGATGGTATTGTAACGCTGCTCAAACTATCGCATTCAAAGAAACATTCATTACCAATTGATGTAACACTTGATGGTATGTTGTTACCAAATTTCTTTCTATCATTTTGAGTGTAAGTGATATTTTTAAACTCAATGTTTCGATTTTTGTTTCTGTTAACAATTTCAAAGTTAACACTGAACCACACAATGATTCGAAAGAATTCTCTCTTCAAAACACCTTTATTTTCACACTCTACTTTTTCTTCGGTGTTGATCGAAATAAATCCATTGCCAAAATTCTCATCTTCTTCATCCCACAAATGAAGTGTCTCAATGTTTGGAAAGTATACAAATGTTTTGGAATTTAACGGAATCGGGTTGAAGTGGAACTTCTCCATATTGCCACCAAACTTCTTGCATACCAACTCTAAGTTAATAAAGTCTTTGATAGTCTTAAGGTACTTCGAGACTATCATGATGTGATAACCAGAAAGTCCACGCATTTTGTTATTCTCAGTTATTCGGTCTTTAAATATTGAAAAATTTGTTTTTTTGTAAACATTTTTAATAAATTATAGATTAATGTATAATTCACTATTTTAAGATATTAAGGAAATATTTCAAAATATACTATTCTTAAACAATAAATTTATAAATTTAATATAATACATTATTTAAATGTTTAAAAATCATTTACAAAACATCACCCCAAATAATTGTATGTTGTTTTGAAAGAAAAAATATCATAAAAATTGTTATTCTTTATTTTGAATATTTAATTAGAATAACACTATTCAATAAATAAATAAAAAAATTCAAACAAAACCACAACAAATTTGTTATATTGTTGAATAAAAAGAGTCTTTTTTTACCATCGATTGTTGAACTTGGTTTTTATAAAACAATCATTGTGAATGTTTAAGGCAGCCAGAAGTAAAATATTGTTTCTTCGAACTTGCAGAGTCATTGCACTTGATATGGGTGCACTGATTGCTGATGGCAGTTCAAAGGAATGTTTGAAAAGCGACTTAATGCTGTTTTTTAAAAGTGAAAGAGTCGAAGATCAAACTTATTCTGTTCATAAAGCCACACTGTCTTGTACGCCAATGTATTAGGAACAAGCCCCCTATGGACTGACAGTCGCGGAAATGCTTTTGTTGCAGCTGCGTCACTGTCAAAGAGATACGACTACTACTACGCTCGCGCAACAATGCAATTAATTGACGGCGTCAGCAACACTCTTAACACAGAAAAACTCGCAACCAGAGGAAATCAAAAACTTGGAAAAAAAGACACATAACTGACAGTTAAGATTGCAGAGAGAGCTGAACAAGACAACAAGAGATCTCGAGGTTACGCAGAATTAAAAAACCAAACAAAAGAGACATCAATGTTGTTACTAATGGCCTACAATTATTAGAAAATGAAGATCAAACGGGCAGGCATTTCAACAAACAGAATGACATAGAACAAAAAGACAAGACTCCTGAAACTTGGGGACGAGCTGTACAAGAGAGTTGTTGGTAATATTTTGAGAAGCAGAAGTTGTCTTTCATCTGACAAATAACAACCAAGTCATTTATGTTCCTTGGGTCAAGTGGTGTTGACAAGATGGAGCTTGCAAAAACATTTGCAGATAAGCTTTTTGACAACGAGAAAAACAACGTCAGAATTGACATGTGTGAATACACTGAGTTGCACAGCGTCTCAAGTCAGATTGAAGCGCCACCGGATAACGTTGGACACGACAAAAATGGACAACTGATAGAGACAGTCATAAAGAACACATACAGCTTTGTTCTGTTTAATGAAGTCGAAAAGGCGCACCAGCAGGTGCTTGATAATTGGCATCTCACATGATGGAAGAGGAAGAACAGTTTATGTCAAGCACGTGGTTGACTTTTTTGTAATTCATAGCGACTTGTTCAAAAGTTATCAAATCTGTTTTTTAGACACATTTTTTTTCAAAATGTTGCATTTATCTCATTATTTGTCAAATTTTTGTTCTTTTGACGTATCCTTCAAGTATCATATAGTCTTGACTTTTTTTGTTGACATATATGAGTATTCTTTTCAATAGTTTCAGTTCATACTGTTATTTCAAAATTATTATCTTATAATAATCAACAGAGAATTTAATTGGGTGTTATTTTTCTCTGTTTATCAATATCGGCTTGAACTATTTTAATTTTTCTTGATATTTTTTGTTCATTTCTACAATCCTTGTCATCTTCGTAGAGTCACCTTATTTCTGAATATGTTGACTTAGGCATTTAAGTCGGTGATTTTATTGTTTATCCATCCAAAATAGTATAGTTTTTCTCCTCAATTGTTAGTTGATCAAAATGGATTGTCAAAACAGTTGCTTATTTTTTTATTATTTGTGTTGTCTAAGGTAAAATAGACATTCTGTAAAGTCTGATTTTTAATAATGGAAAAAACTAACTATAAATATAGTTGTTTTAATTATAATAAATAGCTTTTTTCTTTTTTGAAATATATATTTATTGTTTTATTTTTTAAATTTTTAACTTTTTATCCATATTAAACATTCAAAAAGCAAGAAATGTGGAGTTTGTAATTCCTCCTTAGCATATCTAAGAGTAATATAAACCAACCGGCAGACCATTTAATATAGTTAGCCAAATAAGTGTCATTGCTGTGGTGTTGTTAATAGGTGAAACCGATCGATTTATAATACAAAGAAAACAATTAACAACCAGCATTTCTTTGAGAATGTCAAATAATATAAATAATATAAATTTACTCTGAATTTATGGTTTTTAATTAGCGATGCTAGATACGGTGTATTATAATATAAAAACTGATATAGTAAATTTCCTTGTTGTGTTTTTTAAAATATTGTTAATTAAAAATCAGGATTACCGTGTTATTGGCTCAACCCATTATGCTCAAGCCAAAAATCTTTTAAATCTTTTTATTTTTAAATGGTTTTATTATTATTTTTATTATCGGGATTTTTCAATTGATAATATTGGATTTTTGGCTATAACAACATTTTTAAAATACTAATCAACAGACTTTTATAAAAATTTACAAATATATTCATACAATGGTATTATAATAAACATGAATAATTTTGCACAAAATAAAAAGTTGTTTAAAATAAGTATTGTTATTTTTATTTTAATACAACTGAATACTCCTCTGACGATTTACTCTTATTATGATATAACACGCAATTTTCAAAATTAAACAAATAAAACGTTTTTGCAACCAAGTAACAGCTATATGGCATATCCACACTATGGTTACAATTACAATATGATAAATCCATGTTTACTTTTTCAACATTATTATTATTTGTTAATATCTTCTAATTTATTTCAAACAATACCACAAATCCAACATGTTAATAATTTATTTGAATATAATTCAAATGTGAGTAATTTTAACAAACGAATTTATACCACAAATAAACAACACATATTTTTTTTCAATTATACAACAAATAATTGAACAAAACATAATCAATCACAATGAAATATTTCACAATTGTATGACATTACAACTATTATGAGCAGTAGAAATTGTGCATTACCTGAAATTGGAGATATACCCTTTTATCATGCCAGTTGCAGTTAAAATATATACAAATGTTCCCAACATAGAAACGGTTGCAAATGTTGTATAAATACAAATAGTGTAACAGAAGGAAGTACTATCAAATTCATAAATTACAAATTTCAAAGATAAACAAACACAGCAAACAATTGACAAAGTTGTTTAACAAGTTGACCAGTTTAAAAGAAATAAAAACAATTACATTTTGAAGTCCATAAACATCAACTCCAAGTGAAGCAATGTCTACTTTTGATTTTGTCAAATACCCTCCAAGAATGAGTTCAGGCATGAAAATATTCAGAAAAACAAACTAAGCAATCCAAATAATCTTCTTACAGACAACCCCAACCATTTTGAATATTTGGTTGATTGTACCAACATATGTACAGTATTTTGCAACAAAAAATTTTAAAAACCAACAGTATGCCATCGAGTTTTATTCAATGGATGGAACATTTGAATCAACACCTCATAACTATTATCAAACATACACTGTCCATATAAAGCTTAAAATGACGAATGTTTTAGGTTATTTTATTGTTTATTGAAAGGCAAAGACAAACAAACTTATATTGATATGTTGACGATCATGATAAAATATGGTAAAGAAAATGGTATATCATTTTCAGCAACAACATTGATACCATGATTGATTACGAAGTTACTGTTATTTTATCCTTTTATTTTTATTTTAGTTAAAATTTTTATCAAATTTTTAACTAAAACCATAAAAAGGATGTTCTTTCATTATGGTCAATGTCTTCGGAGATTTGTGTTTAACAATGGAATGAAAGGGCGACTTGACTATTCTATTTTTTGACACATTTAAAACTCTAAAGATCTTGGCTTTTTTTCGAAACATAGAAAGTTTTTGATGTGTTTAATAAAGTAAAAATGGAAAGTGAAAAAATGAACGATTGTGATATTAATAAAATCAATACTTATTATGAAAAAAAAACTTGGTTATATAATAAATATTCTGTTACAATGTGGAATCAGTATAAAAATAAAACCAAAACCAACAACTTTTCGTGAAAATTTTCAAAGTTGTATCATCAAATTTGTTGGAAACAAGAAACCAACGCATTGGGTGTGTATTGATCGCATTTGCAATTTCAAAAAATGAAATGGCCAGACTTGAGAAGGTTGAAGAGGGCAAACTCAGAAGAGTAAGAAGAATTTGTTCAAAAAATTAACAAACAGATAAAAGATGTAAAATTTACATATGAAAAACTTGAAAAACCCAATTTCAAATTTATTACAAATATAATAAATGTTATTGATAAATTGATATTTAAAAAAGTTATGAAATCACTATTTCAAATCAATTGACTATTTTAATTGAAATGACCCAAATTTGACAAACATAAAAGATTTTTTGAAAACGTTTGTAAATTTAATTGAAACGAATTGTCAAAACACACCATTTATTGTCGAAACTAAACACAATTAATAATTTATATAAGATGAATTTTCTATATTTTAAGAAAAATTATCAGAAACTATTATCGAGGTTGAAAATAAAAAAACAGGCATTAAAATAATAATGCTAAAACAGTCAAAACAAACATACAAAGAAAAAACAATAAAAATGATACCAAGGTTACAAAAGAAAAGACTTATATACATCTTTTTTAAAAGAAAGTATTTTGGTGGTTACAAAACAAGAAAAAGCATCAAAAAAGTTAAACCAAAATAATTTATTTTTAATTTGTTATTTTTGTTCATAATTTGAATCATTTTACTTATAAATAATATTTATTTATTAAATATACTTTGTTTGAAACCAGAAAGATCGCATATAATTAAAAACAGTTTCCCCAAATAACAAGTAAAAATAAGATATATATTTATAACAATTGGAAGACTTTTGGTTCAAGCCAAAAGTCTCGAGCCAACAATCCGGATACCAGAAATC